ACCAACTACTGCCAAACACTGGTCCATAATGCCAAGCCTATAAACCTAAGAAGCATGCTGAGCATTTAATAACAATAATACAATGAACATTTTATCTAAACAGGTTAAACAACTTACTTAGAAAAAAGCATAAATTATTTAAAAACAAAAAAACAAAAACACTAAACACCTCGTCATTAGCTTTTAAAATAAATGCTTCTAGAAAAAAACAGTAAAACTCTGGTTACTACTAGAGATATGCTACAACATGTTAAATCTGTAAATAATTCAGTGTACCCCAGCTTTCTTCCATTTCCATTTGCATGAAATACCTTTTTTCATCTCTTTACTTTTGGTCTCTGTGTGTTTTTTGATCTAAAGTGGATCTCTTGTAGGCAGCATGTGTATGGGTCTTATTTTTATTCACTCAGACACTTCATGTCTTTTGATTGGAACATTTAACCTATTTACATTTAAAGTGAGTATTGATATTTATTTGTTGCAATTCTATTATTTCTATTTTTCAATATTCTCTTATTGATTCCATAGAGGGAAGAAGAGGAAAAGAGAAATAGAAACATAAATGATGAGAGAGAATCATTGATCAGCTGTCTACTACATACCCCACACTGGGGATCAAGCCTGCAACCTGGGCATATGCCCAGACCAGGAATAAAACCATGACCTTCTGGTTCATAGGTTGATGCTCAACCACAGAGCCACACTAGCCAGACAATTATTATTCTTATTTTTTATCTTTTTTTCTTTCTTCTTAGAGAAGACTTTTTGCCATTCCTTATAATACTGGTTTGGTAGTGTTGAACTATATTTTCTTGTCTGAAAAACTATCTCTCCTTTGATTTTTAAAGATAGCCTTGCTAGGTAGAATAATCTTATTTGAAAGTTCTTGTTTTTTATTACTTTGAATATTTCTTTCCAATCCCTGTGGCCTACTAAGTTTCTGTTGAGAAATCAGCTGGCAGTGTTATGGGAGCTCCATTCTAGTTAAGGATTTTTCTTTTGCTGCTTTTAAGATCTCCTATTTGTCTTTAATCTTTGGCATTTTAGTTATAATGTGTTTTGGATTGGGCCTCTTTGGGTTCATCTTGTTTTGGACTCTGTGCTTTCTGGATTTGTATGTCTATTTCCTTTACCATAATAGGGAAATTTTCAGTTATTATTTCTTCAAATAGAGTTTCAAATATTTGCTCTCTCTCTTCTCCTTCTGGTACTCCTATAATGTGCTTGACGTTCCAGAGGCCCCTTACACTATTCTCATATGCATATGATACACTTTGTATAGTTGTCCAAACATCCTTGGGTATTTTATTATGTTTTTGTCAGAGCTTGTTGTCTTTGTTTTCCGTATGCATAATGGTATCCTTAAACTCAGATATTTTCCTCAGTCATGTCAGCCTTCAGGTCCATATTCTTCATTTCTGTTGTACATTTTTTCAACTCTAGTATTTTTTAGTCCCCTCTTAAGATTTCCATCTCTCTGCTTACATTGTCCATTTTTTTCTTGCATGCTGTCTTATTTCATTATTAGAACACCGTTAGCATATTAATCATGGTTGTTTTAAATTCCCAGTCTGATCATTTCAACATCCCTGCCATGTCTGGTTCTGATGCTTGCTCTGTTTCTTCAAGTTGTGTGTTTGTGTTTATTATTTGTTTGTTTATTTTGGTATGCCTGGTTGCTTTTTCCTGATAGCTTGATAAGACATGTTGGGTTAGAGGGACTATTGGAAATAGGCCTTTAGTATTGTGGTGATAAAATGTTGGAGGAGGAGAAATGTTGTATAGTTCTGGGTTAGGTCTCAGTCCTTTAATGAGCTGATGCCTCTGCCTGGACTATAAATTTTACAAGTGTTTCTGTTTTTTCTTTCCCCGTAGTTGGACAAAACGGCAAGAGAGAGCTGGGGTTGGCTATTTCCCTTCCCTAGGTTAGTTAAGGTCTGATAATACCCCAGCAGGTTCAGCTAGTTAACTAATTTCTCTTTGGGCAGATTTTCAAAAAGAGCAGAGTGATCAGGCATATTTTAAAATGGTTCCTTTTCCTCTTCCCCTGCTGGAAGCATGAAAATATTTTTCTCAAATTTACTGTGAGAACCACGTTGAGCTCCTGCAAATAAATCTCACAAAATTATGGGATTTTCTATGACTGAGTCCCATGGAAGTTTACCTCTTAGAGTTGTTTACACTGAGCCTCTAGCAATTAGAGTTCAGGTTTTCTTAGCCCAGCACTGATTCACTAGGTCATTCCTGCTGAAGTCTCTCTGCCCCTGTAAGTGACTCATGCTATTCACCTTTTTGTCTCTCCAATTTTGGGGGCAGTAGTATTCCCTGTGTCTTCGCCTCTGATTGGGATCTTTGAAACAGTGTTGATTTCTGAGTCTGTTCAGCTCTTAAATTAAGATGGAGTGGCAATGTCTAAGCTCCTTGCATAAGAAACTGAATAGCAGTATTTTTATAGCCCAAAATGGAAACATGGCATTTTAGGCAGAGGCAACACAAGAGTAAACAGAGAAAGAAAGTCAAAATATATACTTTAGAAATATGAATACAAAAATTGAGTATAGCATATAATTCCTGAATGAGAGAATTTTATATACAATTCAAGAGGCAGATAGAGACCAAGGGTTTGAGGGCTTAAAGTCAGGTTACCAATTTTTATTTTTCGGCTTTATCAGTGAGAAGTCATTGTAATACTTTATCAGGGGAGGAAACAAATAAGCTATATTTATAATATTTTATCTGGTCCTGATGTATATGTACAAGATGAATTAGAAGAGAAGGAATAGCCAGTTGCAAATCCTTGATGGTGGTCATAGAATGGCATTATGATAAATCACTTTAGTAGAGCTGGACAAAGCAATGGATGGATCAAAGTAAAAATATAGTGACTGAGATTAGATGTGAAATCCAATTGAAAAAAATTAGAAATATCAAGAAGAAAACACCTTAGGCTAGATAATGAATATATATATATATATATATATATATATATATATATATTCATTATTTTCAAATATATATATCGAATATATATATATATCGAATATATCTATCAATATATATATATATTAGATATGATGAGCTTTATTGCTCATAATTTGGTTTCGTCTGATTAGCAGGTCATCAGAAATGTTGTACTAGTTGTCAAGTAATGAGAGAAGGACTGAAGTAGAGCCATGATGATTGAAGCCAGGGAATGAGAAATATGTGTGACAGAAAAAGTTATGTCGAAAAACATATGGATAGAACCGTTGGCAGAGTTAAAAGAACCAAACAGAAGAGAAGGAACCAGTATTCATGACAGTTGGAGAGAAACGATAGTCATAGTGTTTTAAGATGTCAAGAAACGAGTGTTTCAAAAAAAACGAGATGAATTGAGAGGAGGCCATTGGATTTGAATGCTCGTGCTTTTCTTGCAGAATGTTTAAGATGAGGACATTGCAAAAGCTATTTCACATGGGAATGATGATGCAGAGGGGCCTAAAACATTGTTTCTAAAGGTTTGACTTCAAGATTTCTAACAATCTTGAAGTTTAATATTTCTAACATATTTTTGCTGCCTTTTTAAATGGTAACATTATAGATCTAAGAAGCAACAAACAAAATACAAATTTGGTTTTCTAATAATTAGCTCTGGAACATAACCTTCACAAAAAAGTATTTCATTTTCTTATATGAGTCCATTTATGGTATAAAATCAATACGTTAGCCACTAAGTGGATCATTTTACAATATTTTCTCAATATTTCTGAGAGTAGCTTCTAATTTAACTTTTTAATTTCCTACTGGGATCCTATAAGGAAATACAACTTTCTAAATCATTAAAAACCCAGTAGGCAATTAGTAGGGTTGAGATATACTGTTTTCCTCTGTGGTAACAGAGTAGATAGAATGGTCTTGAGCGCCCTTATGACACATGAAACAGCATCTACTTTTTCAAGAAAGGATGTTTGAAATGACACGGGCATGAATTCTCTCCTCCACCTTGAGGATATTTGACATCCTCTGCAAATACTGAGCTTAGGAATTGATCCCTTAATCTGTGGGGTCTGATGGTACTTCCAGGTAGATGTCAGAATTGACCCGACTCAGGAAACCAGGCTGGTGTCCCAGAATTGCTTGGGAGTGTGGAAGACACTGACTTCCACCTCACACATGTTGGAGCTGGGTTCAGACCCTTTAGGTCATACAGTGGCAAATCACCTAAAAATAGCATTTTAACTTTAATAGCAGTGTTTTGTGGTTTAATCCAAAACAGAAAAGTGGAACTTTAAGTTCCTTAAGCAGATATTAAGCACCAATGTGGACTGCCTCATTTGTACCACTTTCACTATTTATACCACCATATAAGACTGTTCTTGTTCAATGAATGGGAAACATTACCGCCCAGCTGTCTCATTCAGCCTGGTGTTTTTCACAGTGTGAAAATGCAAGAGTGGAAAAAAATGTATCTCAAACTTAAATGGATGCAAAACATTAATAGAATTATCAACATAAACACACAAGGAGTGTCAGAGATGAAAGTAGCTAGTTTTGCCATCTCTTTTCAAACTTGACAGTGTGGTTTGAATATCTGAAAATACAGTATAAAGACTTGGATCCTCATGCATGTGTGTTCGTACCTTAAGCCAGTGTTTGAGGGATCCTGGCATGTATACCTGTGATGAGAGTTCACACATCTTTCCACGGGGCTGTTTTTTGGAGCTTTCAACCTGTTCGGGTCCATCCATCTTTCTCGGAATGTCAGATTGGTCCACATGGAGTAGGTAAATGGAAACTAATGACACTCATCAAGTCGATTAGGTGAGTGATTTATTAGGCCAGGTCATGTAACACTTTCATCAAGTCAATATCAGGGAAAGAAACCAGGGCTCTTTTACGATGGTAAACTGTATTTGTACTGTCAACATCCTGTGATGTATTACAAATCCTCCAGCCAGGATTAGGATATTATAAATGGGGGAGAACGGAAGGCTCATTTATTCATTGTTTTATGCCCGCAGGTGGAAGACATGCAGTGGGCTGGCAGGGAGCACACACACCCCGCCTCTGTGTGCAGCCTGCCCTGCCAGCCCGGGGAGAGGAAGAAGACGGTGAAGGGGGTCCCCTGCTGCTGGCACTGCGAGCGCTGCGAGGGCTACAACTACCAGGTGGACGAGCTCTCCTGCGAGCTCTGCCCCTTGGACCAGAGGCCCAACGCCAACCACACGGCCTGCCAGCTCATCCCCATCATCAAGCTCGAGTGGCACTCGCCCTGGGCGGTGGTGCCCGTGTTCGTGGCCATCCTGGGGATCGTGGCCACCACGTTCGTGATCGTGACCTTCGTCCGCTACAACGACACCCCGATCGTGAGGGCTTCGGGGCGCGAGCTGAGCTACGTGCTCCTCACGGGGATCTTCCTCTGCTACTCCATCACCTTTCTCATGATCGCGGCGCCCGACACCGTTATCTGCTCCCTGCGGCGGCTCTTCCTGGGGCTGGGCATGTGCTTCAGCTACGCGGCCCTGCTGACCAAGACCAACCGCATCCACCGGATATTCGAGCAGGGCAAGAAGTCCGTCACGGCGCCCAAGTTCATCAGCCCGGCGTCCCAGCTGGTGATCACCTTCAGCCTCATCTCCCTGCAGCTCCTGGGCGTGTGCGTGTGGTTCGTGGTGGACCCCCCGCACATCATCATCGACTACGGCGAGCAGCGGACGCTGGACCCCGAGAACGCCAGGGGCGTGCTCAAGTGCGACATCTCCGACCTCTCGCTCATCTGCTCCCTGGGCTACAGCATTCTCCTGATGGTCACCTGCACTGTGTACGCCATCAAGACCAGAGGCGTCCCGGAGACGTTCAACGAGGCCAAGCCGATCGGATTTACCATGTACACAACCTGCATCATCTGGCTAGCCTTCATCCCCATCTTTTTTGGGACAGCCCAGTCCGCAGAAAAGGTAAGTGCAAGACATGTATGTGTTGATTTTTCCCCCCTGGATTTAACGTTCTCTTCAAGGCCCTCTCCTGCCTTTCCTTTGGTTCATTTATAGTCTCCTTAAAATGATTCGGTCTGTGGTATTCTTATTTAGAAACACACACACACACACACACACACACACACACACTCACGCACAATTCCCTCAAGGCCTAGAGTGGGGTGGGAACCTAGGTCAGTGTGGCCTGCAACCATGTTTGGATAAAAATGTACGTCAGCACACCTGTTGCTGAATAAAGCAAAGTTTTGTGGCTTCCAAAACTGTCACCTTTCTTGACTTGCATGGCAAATGGAGACACATGACTATTTCATGTGGGATTGAGCATATAGCAGGGAAGAAAGTAGGATGGTTTGGGGCTCTAAACCTAACAAGTGGAAAGAATTATACTTTGGCGTATGCAGATGGGACTGTATTAGGATTAAAGTTGTAAATTTAACTTAGGAAAGAATGTATAAATTGGAAAATAAGTTTTTCAAAGTCTAGTGGGTCTGTTTTGATATGGTTAATAACTATATTAACAAGTCAGTGTAAAACAATGCTTTTGCAGATTCTGGAAATGTGCATTATGTGAATTAATAATAATAATAATAATAATAAGAAGAAGAAGAAGAAGAAGAAGAAGAAGAAGAAGAATTTAAGTGCTATTTATACTTGAACCTATGAATGCCATTTTAACATATACTGTTTTATCTCAAGAGGGCCCTAAGTAGTTTAACTGGTTGAACAAATCTTCTGAGTTCTGACATCTAACCTTCCTTTCTTTTTTTTATCTCTTTCTTTACATTTTATAAATTACAGCCCACTCTAATTTTTCATTTCGTGACTTCCAAGGTTGTGGGAGGTGCAAATACAATGCCAATAAGACGTTATTTTTTAATTTAGATCAATCCTTCAGTGCCTAGATTTTTAGATGAAATAAAACCATGGTCCTATATCAAGCTATCGGATATCATCTTTGTAGTTAAAACATGCATTTTGCTAATAAGTTTTCTTAAGATAATTGAAAAAATTTAACCATAGTCTCCCAGAATAGTGACTTTGCAGATTTGCAGCTGCCCCTGAGGAGCAGTAATAGAAATAAAAGAGTTTCAGGTGAAATGGGCACGTGAACATGCTAGGGGTGGAGGCTGCCCAGTGCTGCTGAGGATGCAGGAGCGGCACATCCAATGTGAACCTGAGTGCAATGTGTACTAGTACATTTATGGTGCAGATAAATCCATGCCTGTAGAGATATGACTGAATGTGGCTAGACAAAATTCCCTTTTATTTATGAGCTTTTTGGAATCAAAATAAGTCAATAAAGCACATGGTAAGACAAAGGATAAAATAATATAATTGATAATTATTTTGCATTATGCCAATGAATATGGCAAAGACTAAAGAAATCAATAAGAAACACCAATTTTAGGAATTTTCGGAACAGGATAATTCTCAAATTATTTAGTTGGTCTTACAGTCGTTGAATTTCTAACAACTCTACATCAAGAGCTATTATATAATAAGTAGCAAAGAATTTGCTACTGAAGTATATTATATAATGCACTTCTGTGTCATCCAAACACTTCACATTGAAATTGGCTAGCTGCTATTCTCTGTTAAAGTCTCTATTATTCAAAATAATACACAAAATGTTTGAGAATGGTTATTTTTCACATTACTAAAATTATTGACACATATTAAAAGCGAATAAAACGTTTTTGTCTCTAAAAAGAAAAGGCTTGAAATAAATTTCATTTGCTTTGGAGGACCAAAGAGCTGGTCAGTCTTCCATTCTCATTTATAATGCTTAGCCAATGAACCCCACCATTATCAACTTGAATTGTTTGTAACAAAATAGGCGGCCCACACACCCATTAATTCAGCAGGTGCTTATTGAGCATTGTGTCCAGCATTGTTCTAATTATTGATCTCATGTCAGTCTGCTTTCCTGTAAGGCTCTGTCTGACTCCAGCCGAAGCTGAATGATGTCTGCCAGCAGCAGGAAGGTGTCAGGTTCAAGGGCAAGAGAAGATGGTGAGGGGTCAGATATGAGATGAAAAAGCAAAGATGAGAGCTATGCATCCTATAGTTCTAGTATGTAATCAATTACACTTCCTTAGAGTAATGTCTACAGAAGAAAACTTATCTAGCCACATAGGTCTCTCTGAAATTACAAGAGAAGCAGGAATAAAAAGCTAAATTAGTTGAATAATTTTGACAGATGTTTCAGAAAAATCTCTGAGTAAAATCAAGTTAAAAGGGGATCTTAGTAGCATTCACAAAGGCGGACAGCTCTCTCTGTCTTCATTCAATGATGAAACTCCTTTTAATTTCTGCACATTCCTTTTCCCTCCCAGAATTAGAAATCAAGATGAATTACTATGTTTATTCCAATAGAGCTTATGCCATAATTTATTAACTTCTTGCCTACTATTGCATTTTACTAGGCAATAATAATAAATGCACTTTTTCTTTTCTTATAGAAAATTGGTGTGAAGGAAGGGTGGGCATTCTGAGGCATGAACATGGACTAACACAAACTCTCATAATTTCATTAAAAAGACAAAATATGCAAATATAATTAATGTAATAGTCAGGAAAAGAATCTCAGGGATGGTTAGGGGCTATTAGGATAGAAAAAAATCTCTAAAATACATATTTCACCATCTCTAATTGGTCTCATAAAACTAAGCTTTCAGACACGGGTTATGACACTGCCAAGCTCCAATGAGCACATTGTGTTAAACCCAGTGTCAAATAGAAACAAAATAAAACACCATCAAAGTGAAAAAGAAAAGAAAACTGAACAATGTCAAAACACCTGAATGTCCCCAACCAGCCTTTCTCCCTTCACTCTCTGATGGGTTGTGCAGCAGCTAGCTAGCAGCCCAAGTCGGAATCCTGGGAGTCACCTGCAACTCCTTCCCCTTATTCACTCCCACTGCTTTATCTCCTCCTCTCATCTTTACATCTAATCTTTTATAAAAATTTGTAGAGGGTAAGCAGTATCTGTCTGATATATATCTGAATGAATATGTCTTTTATTCATTAGAACCTTTTATGTCAGTACATTCTGAATATTCAGATGCCTATTCAATGAGTGAGTGGAGTGTTTTACACAATAACCATATAATAATATAAATGCTTATTTATGATTTTAATTAGACTGTGGCCTTATGGGGATGTTTTATATATATATATATATCTTATTGTGATTTGCATTACAATAGTTTTTTTCTGAAAAATAAGTTTTCTTATTTAAATGATGGGCCATATAAACTTATTTTTAAAATTTTGTCAATCACTTATTCTGAATAGGACTGCTAAATATTTAGGGAGAAATATAAAAAGGAATTATTATAGTTGCCCTTAATTCTATCTAAAGATACACAAAGCAAAGGAGGATTAATGTGATTATCCAGATATGTTCACCACGTCGTCCCTCCCTTGTTCTTTTACTGCATGTGACTACCGGAGACCAGAAGAGGGTGGGGAAACAGGTGGATGAGTGGGATTAGGAGGAGCATGAGCTCTGGAGTGGGGAGGCTTGGGGTCAAATCCTGGCTCTGTGTAGAACAATCACCCCACCTGCATTCAGCCCTATTCTCAAAATAGAGCAAATCTGAGTTCATATATATATTGTAGTATAGTATATAACAAACTAACAGACGAAAGTCTCCTCCTCTTGTCTCATTATGGTGTATTCACATAATAGATCTCATAGTACAATAGTTTACATGATATGAGTTATGAGACCGTTTAGCACATAATAAGCAGTTAATAAATGTTGGCTATTATTCCTATTAGACTACATTTCATGAGGACAGAGACCTTATTTAGTTAGCTCCCCATTTTATCTTGGGCACCTTGCAGAAAGTCGGGCCAAAATAGTTTCTCCAAGACACAAGTGTTTAATGATTAAATATAGCCACATTCATTCACATAATTGCCTCAGTTTCTCCAGTCATTTAGACCATGTTTGTGCGGCACCCCAACTGAAAGTGCTTTTGCAAACAGAGGGGCTCTCTTGAGGCTGTAAAGTATATAGGTTATAGCAGTCAGAGAGGAAGACAGAATCTGTAAGAGGAGGAGGAGGAGGACAGAGAGTTCTTTTCGAGGCAATGTGTAAAGTATTTTCTCTCTTTAGCAGAAAATACTGGAAGAAGCAACATGTCATCAGAAAGCAGCTGCTAAAATATTTAAGTTAAAATCTAGTAACTCTAGCAAGAGTTGTAAAGAATAAATAAAACTTCTACTTTAAGAAATAGCCCAGATAAGAAAAGAACAGCCTGAGAAACCTGGGATAAGAATGTAAACATGACCTAGACAACAATGGAAGTGATTTTCAGACTAGATCAGATTAGTGGTAGTTTCCAGCCCCACCTGCCTCCTAACAGTTAATTCCTTAGGATGCTGGGAGGTAGAAATGATTATCAGTATCCATCTTGCATGTTTGCAGTTGTAAACTGCATAGTGTTTCCTTTCCTTGGCAGCTTGCAGTCATATGAAGCTGGTCTTCTTGAAGGGTCCATGATGCCCCACTGTAGTTACAGAACTATCTTAGACATCACGGTAGATTTTGTCTGGGCAAGATCTATAATACTGGACTATTGCAATCGATTCTTAAAGGGAAAAAACAAATTTAAAATAAGAAAAAGAAAAAACAACTGGAAAAGAAAAACATCTCATTTGTGCACTCAGTTAAAATGCTATGCTTATGGCTCTAACCGGTTTAGTTCAATAGATAGAGTGTCGGCCTGCGGACTGAAGGGTCCCAGGTTTGTACCTTGGTCAAAGGCATGTACCTTGGTTATGGGCATATCCCCAGTAGGGGGTGTGCAGGAAGCAGCTGATTAATGTTTCTCACTCTCTATCCCTCTCCCTTCCTCTCTGTAAAAAATCAATAATATATATATTTATATATATTTATTTATTTATTTATAAATGATATGCTTGTGAAGATATGGAAGCAAAGGATATCT